TGTTCATTTTTTTACCTTTGTTTATCCCTAACAGCTTATTGGGAAGACACCAATGGTTTACCTGAATAACATCGTAAAAGGTTCTATGGCAAATATTGCTGCGAAGCTTGAAATCATGGAGCCATGTTGCAGTGTCAAGGATAGGTGAGAGTTTCCCATTTACTCTTGCAAATTTATTGGTTCTGAGGCGTTAGGAAATATGCACCTCTAGCTAAAAGGTGTATGCATTTTCTGTTCTGACATATTCTATGTTCAGATAGTTTTAGCAACTATTTACATTTTGTAAAAGTGTTAACGTGATAGAATCTTGCTTTCAGGATAGGATACAGTATGATTGCTGATGCTGAGCAAAAAGGGCTTATAACTCCAGGAAAGGTAAGATGTCAAATCATTTTATCTACTCTATAATGACAAAACTAAAAAATAAAAATAAAACTAAAATTTGAACTTGAGCAGTTGACTTTTTAATTCTCCAGTTTAATCCTTCTGTACCTATAATGGCATCACATAATCATGTTCACATCAATCATTATCTTCCGCTGGTATTGTTATATTTCTCGCCTGAAACTTGTCATGTGGCACAAGAAAAGTCTTTGTTATTTGTTACATGCTAGAGATGATATGACGCACGAACTATGTTTTTCCTCAATTATATTTTGTGGTCTTAATGAACATTACACTTATCTTGTAATTTTTTTAATGTACTAGAGTATACTGGTTGAACCTACAAGTGGAAATACGGGAATTGGCCTTGCATTCATTGCTGCTTCAAAAGGCTACAAGCTTATCCTGACAATGCCTGCATCTATGAGTCTTGAGAGAAGGGTTCTTCTAAAAGCATTTGGAGCAGAACTAATTTTAACTGATGCTGCCAAAGGCATGAAAGGAGCTGTTCAAAAAGCTGAAGAAATACTAAACAGCACCCCAAATTCGTACATGCTTCAACAGTTTGAGAATCCTGCGAATCCCAAGGTTCATGATTGTTTCTGAACTTCCTATATTCTGCTGGATTATTTTCCTCAATCAATTTGCAGTCTTCTTTTTCTCGTTTTTAGACCTTTGGCTAATGTTTTGGTTCAGTCACTTGTAGTATCTGAATATAGGACACTGCCCATTCTGGTTACAGACTCTTGACATGCTTTATTAGTATGCTTTAATATATTGTAAGGAAAAGTGACATGAGTTGGATAGTTTTTTATGCTTGTACGATGTAATAGGAAGAGCGTTTAGTCTGCTCCGCTGTCATGATTTAAGGGAATTAATATGGCATCAAAGTCACAGATCAGAACTTAATTGCATCTCTCTCTCTCTCTCTCTCTCTCTCTCTCTCTCTCTCTCTCTTTTTCTTCAGGTTCACTATGAAACCACTGGCCCAGAGATTTGGGAAGATACGAAAGGCAAGGTGGACATACTTGTTGCGGGAATTGGTACGGGTGGAACCATTTCAGGTGTTGGTCGTTATCTAAAAGAATGCAATCCTAACATTAAGGTAATAAATTTTTCTGTGATGAAGAATTTCATGCATATTAATTATCTGAAAGGGTCCTTTACGTCAGTTAATTATAATAGGTAGTTTCCTGCATTAGTTTGTCCAGCTAATTAGTTGTCCTGTTCTGGCATTTATTGTATCCCATGTTTGCTCTTGTTGCGGTAGGTTATTGGTGTGGAACCCACTGAAAGCAATGTATTGTCTGGTGGAAAACCTGGTAAGATGGCAGACCATTAATGTCTATATTATGCTAGTTTTTAGGTTGAACTTTTTTGTTCTAGTATTACAATTTGAAACTGCAGGCCCTCACAAAATTCAAGGGATTGGAGCAGGTTTTATCCCAAAGAATCTAGACCAGGACGTGATGGATGAAGTTATAGAGGTTAGTTTTTTTGTCTTAGCATTCTAAATGGTTCCCTTTTTTTTTCTAGTAGGTATATTCTTGCCAACACGAATTTTTGCTGCTTTTAAGCTATTTAGTGGTTTAATAGTATTGACGGCTACAGCACTTAGGCATTTAGAGTTGTAAGTGCATTTTCTGGACTCACTGAGCAGTTCTTGTTTCCTTGTCAGATATCAAGTGATGAAGCTGTGGAATTTGCTAAGCAGTTAGCTCTTCAAGAGGGCCTTCTGGTTGGTTCATTCTTTAATCCTAGTTTTTTTACCCATTAAAGACTATATGATGTCATACTCAATTATTTGCTATTTATCTATTTTCAATCACTGTGGTGAATCTGCTAATACATTTTGCATAATTAATTCACTACGTGAAGTTTCATTGTCACATTGAGAGGAAGAGGATAGCACACTTGCATATGTCGGATACTTCCATGCTGGAACTTTTGAAATAATGTTCCAGAAAGAATTCAACCTTACTGTGTTTAAGTGAATTTTTCAAATTTTTAACATGCTTATTGAATTTTTCATTATCTGAATAATATATTAGCTTGGATATTCTCAATTTGACTTGTATCATGAGATTCGAACTAAATATTTCTGCTGGAATTTTCTTTTCAGGTGGGTATTTCTTCAGGAGCAGCTGCAGCTGCAGCTATTCAGGTTGGAAAGAGACCTGAAAATGCCGGAAAACTTATAGCGGTATGTTATATATTCTTAACTGATGTTTGTCAAGATGCTATTTAGGGGTTGCTGATTTTCTATCAGTCTGAAGATGGATAGAACATTGGTGTCTGGTGATACCTACTAAGTTTACATATAGGTTTCCTCTTAGCTAGTTTATGAGGCTTGCACAAGCTGCAGTTGATTTTTCTTGTCATAGCTTTCTGCTGAATTCATAAACACAAACTAAGATGATATTTGCCTGTGCTGGTTTATGAGGCTTGTGATGGCCTTTCCATTAAATTTGTAAAAACAACTTAAGATTGTACTTGCCCGAGCAAAGATTGAGATAGCGTTCTGCTGCCTCATGTATATGATTGCTGGTATGGGCTGTTTACTGGCTAGCATTTAGGACTGTCAATTTTTTACCCGCCCATGAGCTGGCCCAACCGGTCGGACTATATAAAGGGCTTTTGGAGTAGTATTTCCTAGGCTTGAAGAAAGTTGGGGCTCCGTTGGCTGTGGCAAGCCCAATGTGTTTTCCACTATTTGCCATATGGGCCATAAAAATTGTGGCCTGGAAAATTTTCGGCCTTGCCGTCTTGCACACCATGGCGCGCAGCTCGATTTTCACCCCAATGACAAACGAATTGCATTTACATGTTCCTTTACCCAATGATAAAAACTACAGCCTGATATCGCTATCTAGAAACTTTGTGCTGCATACATTGAACTTGACAGAATAAGAATACATGGTGCAACTGGTAATATATATTTAGTTCTCCTGAAATAGGTTCGACCTAGAAACAAGTGAGTCATTGTCACCATTTTTCAGTCACATTTGCAGGATGGTCCTATTGCAATTACCTAATCAATTCTATGATTATGTGGCAAAATATATGCGGAAATAGTTATGGGTTCGGTATATTCTATATTCTTTATGTTCCCATGTGTTTTTAATCTCATTTGAGCTGTTAATGCCTTTGTGGCAGGTTGTGTTTCCTAGCTTTGGGGAGAGATACTTGTCGACAGTTCTTTTCCAGTCTATACGGGAAGAAGTTGAGAAGATGCAGCCTGAAGTGTGAATACGATAGTCCCTTTTGCCAAAGTTTTATTTTTCCTGCAAATAAATGTTCGTCTAGTTGGATCGGTAGTGACACATTCAGTTTTGTGCATTACTGAACATTTGCGTTTTCTTCCGATTACTCGGGATGCCACAGATAGGTGAAGAGTCATTTGTGTCATTTAAATATCTCCAAACAAGAGTAGGTTCAGTTCAAATCATTTGTGTGCTTATAAGCTCAAGTGATTAACCTATAAAGTAACAAATATGGGTTTATGCATTTGGTTCTGTTATCACTTATTCGTCTCCATCTTTTCTTCTTTTCTCTTCTTTTTTTTTTTTTAGATTTTTATTGTTGTTACTGTGTGCTGGAAGAAAATATGCTTGGTCTTTCTGGGTAAATTACGATGATAATTGTCCACACCGTGTTTTTAACAGTTGGATTGCACACATTTGATTCAAAAGCATTTACAAGAACTAGAATGATTGGGATTTTCATTTTTTTTTCTTTTAATCAACTGTTTCATGNGGAGTAAAATGTTTAAAGCTAATAAAAAAATTATTTTTATGACAAAATAACATTTGCAAAGGACGAACCGAAAAAAACAAAAAAAGAAAAAAAAAAACGAGTCGCTCAACTAATGGTTAGTGCTTACCCAGTTTTAGGCACATACACTTTCCAATCTAATTCCATAAAATTCATCATGTAATGAAACTTATGAAAACTTTATTACAAATTGTGGATATTAAAATTTTATCGAACTACACTTGCAAATAAAGGAGATCCTATACAATTTATTTATTTTTAAATTGTTACCTTTACATGATTTTTTTTATGAAAAACTAGTACGTAGCCCGTGCGATGCACGGGACATAAGTATTAAATGAGTAATTTCCACAGAGTTTGTCCGTTAAATAGCTCGTGCGATTCAAGAGAGATATTGAATGAGTGGACCATAGGACTTGTCCGTTTAGGCCTAAAAAATAATAGAGTCTGATCATTTATCTTTTTACATCTTTTCATCAACGTTATATTTTTTGTCGAAACATTAAACCTGAGTCTGATAGCGCAAGCCCGTAAATTAATTAATATATTATCTCGCTCACATGTTTATAATAATATAAATTTGATTTCATTATATATATATATATATATATATATATGTTCCTCGTATAATACTGATATTATTTTATTATAAAATTTATTGTAATATAATTTCATTATTATTATTTATGCGAGTTATATATGTAGTCTTCTTCTTCTTTTTGTTTTATATAATTAAAATATTTAATGTATGTTCATATTATTTATAAATGTAATTAATTTAAATTATGTAAATAAATTTAAAGTAAAACATTTTGTACAAACATTTTACAAAATATACACAAATATTTTTTTAGATTTTTTTTATAATAAATAAATATCTTTGAAATTCTATGCAATTATTAAACATCCGTGATATAAATTCGAAATCATAATTGAATTCTATGCAATTAGTAATTCTGTCTGATGTTATGAGAAACAAATTTTTCGGAAATGATTATATGTAAGTTGAGATAAAATGAAATGTATCAAAAAAATCTGCTTATGATACTTTCCTTTAAATGTTTGAATGAATTTGAAATTTAAATTACAAATCAACCCCCAGTTATTCAAATAATTTTAAAAAAGTTACCAATTGTAATAAAATGTATGTGACAATATATTATAAATATACATGACGTCAGTAATGTTATGAATCTTTAAGTTCCTAAAATATATATTATTTAAATATGAAACTAATTAACTTATATGTTAAGAAAATATATATAAATATATGTATTGTACGAAATATACGCGTGACAAGTTATTATATTTGTTTATATATTGTTTGTATTGTTATTATATTTGTATATAAATATATTGTTTATATATTTTTCTGTATTGTGCGATAAATTATTATATTTGTTTATATATTATTTAAATATATATTGTTTAGATATGAAACTAATTAATCTATATGTTGAGATAATATATATAAATATATGTATTGTATGAAATCTTTAACGTGTTTGTTAAATTTTTCCCCTAAAAAATTCAAAATACATTTAGGCATGTTTGTTTGAAGTTTGAAATTTAAATATGCATCTATATAACAAATCCCATGATTTATGCTTACTATTTTTGAATGTTTTGCTTACTATTTTTGAAAAATGTTAATTCTTATTATATATATATAGATGATAATATATATATATACATATATATATATATATGTAATTATATATTGATGGCATCCCTCATTTTTTTTTTCTTTATATGAATTTTTTTTTTTTAATTTTGATATATCACGAGTGCAGTTGGATATATTCCAACTTCATTATCCAATTGACTTATATATCATTTGTCTCATTTTTCTCTTTTTTTTTTTCACTCACATTATTCTAAATGATTTATAAATTAAAAATGAACATTGCACATTTATCTATTTAAGTGGAAGAATTTATTCCTTCACTCGCATATTTATAATTGTAATTTATTTTATTATTATCTTTCCAACACATCATAAGTAATTACTATTTTTTATATTCCAACTGTTTCTATTTAAAAACTAATTACTTTTTATTAGTTACGTTTATCAATTAAAAAAATACTAATAAAAAAAAAAACATATTCAATGGCACCCTACTCAGTAGCATAAATCATAGAAAATGTTTGGCAACTTCAACAACATAACTGAAAGAATAAGCTGACCAGAAGAAAGCTAGGGTTTGAAGAAAATATCTCAGGTTTCAATCTCGACATCTCTTCGGCATTCTACAAAATTCCTGCTCTTGTTATTATATTGGTTTTCATGTTCTGGAAAGTGAGGTGATAAGATTGTCATCTCTGAAAAGAGGAATTTCTTTGAGAAAAACAATGATAGTAGGAAGCTTATTTCGCTGTGTTTTTCAGCTCAAGCTATGTCTGCCTTGGTAGTTCATATACATTTTTGTTTTTCGTGCTGATTATTTTTTATATATTCTTAGATAAGAAATATGTTGGATTCTGATTTCACAGTAATTGGGAGTTTGTTATGTTCCATGTTCAGGTAGTCATGAACACCATGTTCGGATAGCATATTTCTCTCTCTCTCTTTCTGAATCGAACTTAGTGGGAAAATTGTGATGGAAAGATTCTTCATATTGTGGTGGTTGCTATTAAGGATCTTCAGGACATTTTAGCCAAAGTATTGTGACTGTGTTGCGGAATTTTGAAGGAAAACATAATGCAAATGATTATTTGATTGTATTGTTGTGTATCTATCTTGTATCTTCTTGTACCCTGGCACAGAAGGTAGAATAGCAGTAGTTTCATTAAATTTTTATAGTGTACATATTTCATCGCCTCCAGTTGTGCACATTGTCCACCTCCTTCATAATTTCTGAACCTTATGAGAACTATAGTATATTACAAGAATATCTTCTGCAGTTGAATAATGATTATTCAACGTGGCCCAAGTTTGTAATTTTACATTGTCACTGAGCTTATGTCCTTTTTTGGTCTCTCGTTAAACTGATGCAATAAGAGTACTTCTCTGCGAGGGTTTAGGTAGCGTTACAATCATGGACACCAAACACCATAGTGTAATCTTAATAGTCACTTTCTATCGCTGTTTTCTGGTAAACAAATAAAAATGCCATTTTTGCTGTAATTTGAGTTTCTAATTAAATACGTACTATCTTTGGCTCAGGGTTTATGTTTGTAAAATGTTTTGTTACACCAATTTAAGAGTTTCTTTTTGCTTTTTTGTTTCTAAATTTGCAGGTTTACGCGTTACAAGTATTGCAAATGTCTGGGCTTTCTACTTTCCGTGCTCTTGCTCCAAAGACCAAGAATCTGGTTGTCGCTGGAGGTCTTTCAGCTTTTGTATTTGGGGTGTATTTCTATACAATGAGAGCCGTGGGTGGTACAGATGAACTTCAGATTGCTATCGACAAATTTGAGGCCCAGAAAAGTCGGAACGAGCCAGAATCCACGTTGGCGCCTAAAGCTTGATTGCATCTAGCTGGAGACGCAATCTAATGTAAATTTGCTGAGAATTGGTTAACTGAAATGCTTGGCTGATAATAGTATATCTTGAGCATGCTTTCTTGATGTTTAAAATAAAGTCATGGTGGAAGCTAGATGAAGATATCATTTATCTTTGTAACAAAATTGAGCTTCGGAATCGTGTGACTATGGCTAGAGGTTCGAAGATTGAATGATATACCCTTTTGTTTCATAAGCTTTGTGAAGTTCCAATCAATGAAAAGTTTCCATTAATTCTTTGAATGAGTATGTGGCAACGTCATGCGGTTTCAGTACTATGGAGTTGAGCCAACTCCATGAAAGGCTGTCGACACATTTTGAGGAAGGTTCAAAACTTCCCTAAATCAATGTACCATTGTACGTATTTCATTGAATTCGAATTATGATAGAAGCAGATAAATTGAATCAATGGGATTCTCAGGATTTCATGCAACTATTTGTTGTCGAGTAGAGCTAAATGTAAGCAGTAGTGTGCATACTTTGTACATAATTTTGATCACTGATTGCAATCTTTGAGCAGCACACTCGAAGCAAGTACTTTGCTCAGAAGTATGAAGTAATAACAAAATCCAATCTTACGCTGTCTTGTGATTTTCATATTGGACTTTGAATATTTAATCCAATGTGTTGCTTTAATAAAGGTTTTACCCCACTTATGGACAATCACCTGCTTTTGATATCACTAGCACTCTTGATGTTTTAAAAGATACAAGGCATGGTCTCCTTCGTTTGTTCATGAGAATTTTTAATGCTAACTTACCCCTTCATTCCACGTAATTACGCCAAATTCAAGATCTCATTCAATACTAGGTACCACCGGCAAGCTTGATTTCATTGCAAGTAAACAACTCAAGTGTATGTTAATCTCATGGCAGTTAACAATTTATGCTTCAACAGAGCAATTTATGAAGACAAAACATGACAGCATGGCCGGACAATTTTCACGTGTTGCTTGGCAACTCAAGTCTCTAATCATTGAGTGACAAATACGCCTTTAATTTCCCGGCCAGATGTGGCATCATGTTGATGCTGTCTTGAACAGATTGTTCGACGCACGACTCCAGATTTTGCATGGATTGGTTCCTATTCAGCATGAGATCCTGCATGGAATGGTTACTGTTCGTCTGGAGCTTGGCTGACTCGTATTTGTCTTGGCAGACTGTGAGAGACCTGCTCAGTTTTTCCTGCAAACATTTCAAGAGTACAGTAGTCAACTACTCGTTTTTGTTAGATAAAAATCACGTGCAACATATCAAGAAGGAACCAAAGAAAATGCATTGCCAGAAACAAAGGTCTGCAGTGTGGATTCACATGCCATGGTATTATACATGGCTTAAATGACTTGATATTTTCTATTGTGTGGATCATATAGCCACTTTCTCCATTTTCTATAATCGTTTCAATACAAATCAGAAAATGCAGACAGGATTTAGAAGCTGGAAGTAATTAATTAGCCATAATCAAAACTTCTCCAATTTATGTAATATCATGCACAGGGAAAGAAAATTAACNAAAAAAAAAAAAAGCAAACAGAAACAGGGAACAACATCAGGGTTTAATGATGCAGAATGTATAATAGGCCCCAGAAAGATTTTATATCACTGACTTCCTACTCACAGTACTTGATAGCAGAATCAGGATTTGTCAAATAGGATTACGAAAAACAGGAACCTTGATAAGAGTACGAAGAGGCAATATCATTCCCTAATGATAACAAATGTAGTTGTGGGTCTGAATTAAACTAAAATCAAACCAAGCCAAGTCTTATGTTATATGCTTCCTAAAAAAATGGTTGGTCCTTACGCTGATACATCATAGATCCACACATTATCATAATCTTCTTATAATCATTTTTCATAGCAGAAGCCACTTGAATCCGGTATGGCAGTTTCAATATCATATGAATATCATGTGTGGTGTCAGACTTGGACTAGAAGATCTCGAAGCATAAGAAACCAAGAAGTTCAGAATATCTCGTCAATATTGTTCCGAGAAATAATACATACATTGTTATCACACATAAATGCAAGAAAACAAAGAACTTCTGAAAATAATGACACACACATTCAGTGGAAAGTAACAAAATAATCAGTGAACTGTCAGGACTGAGAGAAACACAATAAAACCAACTTAAGATCTAGGGAGCTATGGTTCTCAATCCCCTCAATCAGGTCAAAATTTACTATATTTTAGAACGCCATGACAGTCAACACACTTGAAGTAAATGAAAAATGATAACAAACATAACAAGCCGGACAAACACAATCAGCTACTAAAATATCAGGCCCTTATATGGGCAGCATAGCACCTCATAACTACAGACAGTGCTTCACTGCTAAAAATGACCATAAACGTTGCACCAAATTCGAGGATAACTTGACAGCATCTTTGAGAATTATCCATAGATTTCACCACAGTAGTTTATTTTTCAGCAATCACCTACATTGAATCTTACCATAAACCCTAAAACTGTTCCAATTCAAGTTCACCACCAGCATAAGAAGTAAATCATGAGAAACAACTTCACTTCAGCTTATAAGAGCCAACATCTCGATTATCAAACCCAACCCGCAATTCTGAAGATTCATTTTGAAAAAAATAATAAAACACACACACACACACACGCATCTACCTGAAATCTAGCCATTTCGTTTTCGACAAGATTCTGGGCATTCACCACGGGCACACTGCAATGCTCCACGCAGTTGCCGATCTCATTCTGGTTCTTTCTCCGGTCGAAACACTCATATGCACACTTGAAGTACGCTTGCTGTCAAATAAAACAAAAAAACGCAGCACAGATTTTATAGCTAGCCACACAAATTTGACGAAAGAAAATGAAATCGCACAAGAATGTAAGGGGAAATCACCTGTAGGGTGAAATTGATGTGGTCATGTACACCGGCGAGATGAGATTGGGCGGCAGCGTTGACCTCATTGAGCTTCTGCCTCAGTTTCTCGTTCACTAATCTCTCCTGTGCAGCTGCTGCGTGATCCATGCTGAGGGTTTTTCGGATTTTCTGCAGTCGGTTCTTGGTGAATTCAGGGTTTAAGGTTAGCTCCGTCTGTGTTTCTTGGGCGAGGGTTTAAAGGTTATTTTAGGTGAACATGTGCATCGAATTTGTAAGACTGGTCTTCTATTTATATCCAATAAATCCAATTAAAACAGGTTTTAGTTATTATAGTGAAATGCTCCCCTACCCAAAATTAATTTGTTCACCACTTATGTGGTATGTATAGAACATATACACATCATCAAATATTATTTTTTCCAACAAACCCATACATGCCACATAAGTGGTAGACAAATTAATTTGTGCCCACTGAGTAGGGGAGCATTTCCGTTTAGTTATATCAGTCGCGCCCTAACAGCCATCTTCAATTGTAACCATTGTTGAATAGGAAATGTTACATTGTCAACCTAGTGTACAACTGAGTTGAAAACACAACATCTACTTGTTTATTTTTTTATTTTTATGTTTTTTAATATTTTCACTTGTGTTGTCAACTTAGTTGTACACTAAATTGACAATGTATCATTTTTTTTTTGTTGAATTTGTAAGACTGGGATTTTATTTATATCCAATAAATCCAATTAAAACAGGTTGCGCCCTAACAGCCATCTTCAATTGTAAGTTGTAACACTTCCATTTTGAAAAAGGTAAACATTGTTATAAAGAAGGTGGTTGGTCAACTAACTCTATCATCATTTGTATTTATATATATAATAATGTATATGAATGACTACTTTGCATCTGATATAATTGTATTATTACGATTGTGCCATCATAAATTTTTCTATAAATAGGAGTTTCAGTTATAATGAAAATACAACCAAGAGAATACATTTTCTCTATTATCTTTTTTTCTCTAGTTTTATAACACGTTATCAGCACGAGTCTCTGCCCTCTAGAGCTCGATTTGTAATAAAACGAGAGTATGCTCTACAGTCGCGTCTTATAGACGATCTTCTGTATCAGAAATCATAATATTACAAATCATTATTTTATTGAAGCTATTCTTCAAGTGTGCCATAAACATTCAATAATTTGCAAGTCATGGAGAAAGATAGTATTTTATGTCTGGTCGACAGTGCTACTACGCACACTAATTTGAAAGATAGAAAATTTTTTCAAACTTTAAATGAAAAGAAAGGGAGTGTTACTACAATTGGTCATGATAAAATCTTGATAGTAGGCTCTAACAGAGCTCTACTTACTCTTCATAAGGGCACCGAATTAATAATTAACGATGCGCTTTTGTACCCTGAATCACAAAGAACACTCCTTAATTTAAAGATATTCGATCAAATGGTTTTCATCTTGGAAATAAGACTGAAAATAATAGAGAATACCTTCTTATGACTCATTCACAAGGAAGTCAAAAGAAGATTGTAGAATAACTTCCCTCTTTTTCCTCAGGCTTGTATTATACTTACATTCAACCTTCTATTAATCATGTTGCATTGAGCTTAAAATTTAAATACCCAAATTCATTTAAATTATGGCATGAGCGATTGGGTCATCCTGGGCTTAGTATGATGCGTCGGATTATTTCTAACTCTATTAGGCATAACGTATCAAGCAGCAGTCTCCCTTCTTTTAATGAATTTATTTGTGATGCTTGTGCAAATTGATATTACGACCTTCACGTACTAAAGGTGGGATTAAATCTCCTACGTTTCTTCATAGGATTCATGGTGATATATGTGGACCAATTCATCCCTCATTAGGACCTTTTCAGTATGTTATGGTCTTGATAGATGCTTCCACTCTATGGTCATGTGTGTGTTTATTATCCACTAGAAATCAGGCTTTTCCAAAACTACTTGCTAAAATTATTGAATTAAGATCTCAATTTCCTGATTATCCAATTAAAACTATTAGAATGGATAATGCCGGCGAATTTACATCGAAATCATTTGATGATTATTGTATGTCATTAGGCATCAAAGTGGAGCATCCAGTACCTTATGTTCACACACAAAATGGTCTAGCCGAATCACTAATTAAGCGCATCAAATTAATTGCTAGACCATTGCTACAAAATTCCAACTTATCAATTTCATGTTGGAGACATGCAATTTTACATGTTGCTGCCCTAATTCAAATCCGACCTACTGCATATCATGATTATTCCCCTATACAATTAGTGCGTGGTAAAGAACCTAACATTTCCCATCTGCGAGTATTTGGTTGTGCAGTCTATGTTCTTATATCACCACCACAGCGCACCTCTAAGGGCCCTCATAGAAAGCTAGTTATATATATTGGCTATGAATCTCCGTCTATTATCAAATACCTAGAGCCCATGACTGGGGATCAACTTACAGCTCGGTAAGCTGACTGCATATTCGATGAAGAGAATTTTTCGGCATTAGGGGGAGATAAAAGCCTAAACTTAAATAAACGCCGAGAAATTTCTTGGAATGTACAAAATCTACAATATTTAGATCCACACACTAATCAAACTGAACTTGAAGTTTAAAAGATAATTAATTTGCAATACTTAGCAAATAATTTGCCAGATGCATTCACTGATCATAAAAGAGTGACTAAATCATATGTACCTTATATAAATGCACCACAACAAATGAAAGTCCCCATGAAATTCAATATTCATACAGATGCCCTATGCCATAAGCGTGGGAGACATGTTGGTACAAAAGACATAATCCGCGGAAAATTTTATTTTTTAATAATATTGAATCACTCTCGAAATCTCCAGAAGAGAATTGTCCAGAAGGTAAAAATCCTAGTTTAAATGCACGTTCAACAAATAATAAAAATACTAGGATTGCGGAACATCCAAATCAAAATATATGGGAAAATGATGAAGATCTGTTTGATGTAAATATTGAAGTAGCTATGAATTTTGTTGATACAGAAGAAACTTATAAGAGAAGTAACACATTCGTCAACGACATATTTACCTCTACAGTTGCCTGTACCATCTCTAATAATCTAGATCCAGAACCTAAATCAATTGCAGAGTGCTGGAAGCGCTCCGATTGGGTAAGATGGAAGGAGGCAATTGAGGCTGAACTAGACTCGCTAAATAAACAAAAAGTTTTTGGCTCTATTGTGTGTACACCTCAAAATGTTATCCCAGTAGGATATAAATGGGTGTTCGTACGAAAGAGAAATGCAAATAATAAGGTGGTGAGATACAAAGCGAGATTAGTTGCTCGAGGGTTTTCGCAGAGACCCGGTATTGATTTTGATCAATCATATCTCCTGTAATGGATGGAATAACGTTCCGCTATTTGATATCTCTAGCAGTAAATATGAATTTAGATATGCAGTTAATGGATGTCGTGGCCGCATATTTATATGGGTCATTAGACACAAATATATATATGAAAATCCCTGAAGGATTAAAAGTTCCCGAAATAAAGAGAAATGAAACACGCAAAATGTATAGCGTTAAATTACTAAAGTCATTATATGGCTTAAAGTAGTTGGGTAGAATGTGGTACAACCGGCTAAGTGAGTTTTTGTTGAAAAATAATTATGTGAATAACGATGTGTGCCCCTGTGTATTAATAAAGAAGTCAAATAATGGTTTTGGCATCATTTCAGTTTATGTCGATAACATAAACATAATTGACACACGAGAGGAGCTTGATAAAGCTAGCTCATGCCTAAAGACAGAGTTTGAAATGAAAGATTGGGGTAAAACTAAATATTGTCTCGGCCTGCAGATTGAGCATCTCCCTGAAAGAATTTTTGTACATCAGTCAGCCTACTTGGAGAAGGTTTTAGAAAAATTCTACATAGATAAATCTCATCCACTTAGCACACCAATGGTTGTTCGATCCCTTGAAGCGAATAAGGATCCATTTAGACCTAAAGAAGATACCAAAGAAAATTTAAGACCAGAAGTTCCTTACTTGAGCGCCATTGACGCGTTACTTTATCTTGCAAATTGCACCAGGCCTGATATTGCATTTGCAGTAAACTTGCTAGTACGAGGAGACACTGGAATGATATTAAACATATTTTTAGGTACCTTCAAGATTCAAAGGATCTTGGTTTACTTTATAAAAATAACCAATATATGACATTGGTGTGATATTCAGATGTTGGCTACATGTCTGATCCCATAATGCCAGATCTCAGACTGGTTATATTTGTCTCTGTGGTGGTGGTACTGCAATCTTTTGGAAGTCGGTCAAGCAGTCCATAGTTACTACATCTTCAAACCACTCAGAGATAATTGCTTTATACGAGACTTCAAGAGAATGCGTATGGTTAAGATTTTTAAAACGACATATTCGTGGGTCATGGGGAATTACAAATAATATAACCACCACTGTCTTTTACGAGGACAATGCAGCTTGTGTTTTACAAATGAGAAGTGAGTAGGTCAAAGGAAGCATGACAAAACACATTGCTCCAAAATTCTTTTCCCACACGAGCTTCAGAAGAGCGGTGAGATTATTGTACAAAAAGTACGATCTAGCGAGAATTTGACAGATCTATTCACCACATCCCTTCCTACATCTACTTTTGAAAAATACGTTTATGGTATTGGTATGCGTAAACTAGGAAGACTATTGTCTTCGAGGAAAAGGGACAAACTCAAAATAATCCCAAAGATTAGGTCCTGAAGACCAAGTGGTGTACTCTTTTTTCCTTGGCTGAGGTTTTGTCCCATTGGATTTTCCCAGCAAGGTTTTTAATGAGGCAACATGGGTGGCGTATTCACATGAATAGTGTACTCTTTTTTCTTCATTAGTATTTTATCCCATTGGATTTTTCTTAGTAAGGTTTTAACGAGACATATTTATGGTATAATGAGGACTACTGGATAATTTATATAATTTCTCATGATGATAAGAAGACACTAGGGTAGTTGTACTTTTTTTTATTCGATCAAGTTTTTTCCCAGGGGTTTCTTGACAATGTTTTAACGAGGCAACACGTGGATATTCCACTAAAGATGTTCTATTTGAGGGGGAGCAATGTTGTGCCTCCACAGTGCTCAAGTTTTGTCCCAACAGGTTTTCCTGAGTAAGAAATGTTTGTGATTCCAAAATGATCAGGTTTTGCCCCACCAAATTTTCCTGACATGCTGAAGCAGCGGTACCTGATGACAACAAGATACACTTCAACATGTTTAAATTGAGTTTTGTTCAAATAATGATTAAATTATGTTTAGAAAATATTCATTCAAGGGGGAGTGTTATAAAGAAGGTGGTTGGTGGTT